GCCCATTTTTTCCTGTTTTAACTGGGCCAGCATAAATTATTGGAAGTAGGAGATCCCAAGCCCCAGAAATCAAGTGATAACTTATGCAGATCTTGAAGTAGCTGTTACATGAATGAACTAAGGCATGCCCATAATTACTCAATTGCTGCATTCAAAAGTAACTATAGCTTCAAGGGCAGTCCCATTTATAGTCACTGCTACAGTCTATCTGGGAAGTGAAAAGAGCATCTCTATGCTCTTGTTCGGCAGTAATTCCAGATGCTTGGATTCCTCTTGTAGCCTCCGACTTTTCTTCTCTTACATTAGGGTTAGGATTTTATAATTTCAGATAAATAATAAGTCTGGCCACCATTTTTCTCTCAAATGTAAACCTAATATTCATACTTACAGGATGTAGTTTGCATTTCAGATTTTTGAACTTGCTGTTTCCACAATCACAACAGAAGTTTCTAAGGGGAAAAAAGGCAAATTCTGAAAGATGCTAGTGTCGTGATCTCCATATACTTAAAGCAAGCCATTTACAAATTATGTTCATAATAGATGAAAAACATCTTCAAAAATTATTAAATTATAATTATTAAATCGTATTTACCATCCATTTTTTTTCAAACCAAAATAAATGTCTCTTAAGTATTCACACAGCTAATTTCAGTTATAATCCTAAAGACGTCATGAACCTTTTAAAACAACTTTTTAACTCATAGAACTATATATTGTGGTTATATTTTGTAATGAAGTAGCACTCTTCTCTAGCTGGAAATTAGGAACTTGAAAATTATATTTATTTACTCAAGCATTTCACTTTTAAAATACACTGATGTAATAATACCTTGAGTCCAATAAATCTCTAATAAAAGGTGTCACAAAATTATGTTTTTCCTTGTTAAAAAATGAAATTGTATTCTATTGGCAATCCTCAACTAACAAACATTTGTTCACCAACCATTTGTTGCAGCATCCCCAAGGTCACATGATCAAAATTCAGGCCTAACTGCACTTCAACTCCTACTCCCATCTATTTTCCCTCCATCTCTGCCATTTTGGGTGCCTTGCATTCCACCACATATTCCTGCACTCTGTGTTTTGTATCCTTCCTTCTTTCCTCTTAGAAAAGCTCAGTCTTTTCTTCAAATACCTACGAGGAAAAATGAAGAAATCCCCGTGTATATGGCAGAACATGCAAGGAAGATGGGGTACAGCTACAGGCTTTTAAGCCTTGATTGAAGCATATAAGAAGAGTCCATCTGTCTAGGAATCCCAGCACCCAGTGCATGTGACAGCATATGAGCATCTTTGTGGGCACTAAAATATCTAAGTTGCAAGGGGCCTCTTGCATGATGCCTAGGAACAGAAGTCATTCAGAATCCTGGTGGAAGCAGATGGGTGCCAGACCACAAACCAGGCAAGGAAGCAGGTACCCCACCCCCCAATCAAGATTTAAAAACATTGGTCCATGCCCTTCTCATCTCATGGCCACTAGCATTTCCCCTGCCATCTGTGCTGAAGATTGCTCCAGTAGAACCCATCCATACATGCTGGCTTAGAGCATAAGCTATGCTGCCTTGGCTGGCAATACTTGTGGTTCAGGGACCAATCCACCATCACTAGGGCTACTGAAGGGCAGCTGGCTCCAGATGCCACACAAGAGGAACTGGGTTGCTTAGATATTCCAGGCCTACTACTTGTGGCAGTGTATTTTTGATGGTGCTTGGACATCAAACAGCTGGTCTCCTCTTGTATGCCTCAATCAAGGCTTAAAAGCCTCTACTTGTGCCCCATCTTCCTTGTGGCTCCTAGCACAGCATGGGGGGGGGAGGAATTCATTTTTCCTGGTCAGTATTTTCAAACAAAAGACTAAACATTTATAAGCAAGAACAAAGAAAGATACAAAATGCAACATAGGATGCAGGGCTGACGCAGAAATTCTGCGTTGGGGGAATATGTTGTTTTCTTCTCTGCAATGCCTAACTCAAATGCTTATCCACTGGTTGCTCTCATACGGATAAACAAGCAGCGAAGTTGGGGAGAGTTCTCAAGCACCTCTCCTTAATTGGCTAGCATCATGTGCTATTTGCCTTTTGATTGGCTGAATCATTCATATATATCTCCTTCTTCCACTGATCCAAACAGCATCTCCCGCACAGCCTCCACCTTCACCCAGGGAACTGCCACCCCCTCTTCCTTCTCTCCCTGTATGCATCCCAGGCTGCACTTTCACCCAGCACCTGGCCACCCACAGAAGATAGCAAACGCCATTTACGGGCAGTGGGTGACCACATTGGCACCAGGGATATGAAACAGAGTGTGAGGCACCCAAAGATAGAGAATGAGGGGGCAAGATTGGCTGGTGGGATGAACTGAAGTGAAGGCGAGTGTGGCAGGGCAGAAGCTTGAGATCCTCACCTAACAGTAGTGCTGTCCTAGCCTAACAAGTGTTAATGAGTCTACTGAAACTGCCATTGCTAAACATACAGTCATCTAACGTTTCACATAATGACCATAGTGATCAAAGTTCCAGTCCCAGCTATGGTTATAAGTTGAGGACTAATTTAAATAGCTGAAGACTGATAAATTGGCCTAAAGAGGATGAATTTATTTTCTCTTGGCTTACCTTTTTGTATATAATTCAAATAACTTGTGAGAGCCATGGCATTCATAGCTGCATGCTAAACAAATTCCTGCTGGTTCTTCACCTGATGGTGTACATGTATTGCAGGCATATAATGCCTGCCTCTTTACAGCACCCTGGAAAGACAACAGCATAGCAATGAAAACAATCAGGAAAAGTACTATGTTAAGATTTTGCTTTTACAGAGAAATCCTAAGACAACAAACCTAAATCTTAGAAGTTAAATAGTTTTATTCTTACTGGAGGTTTAAAAGAATTCTTAAGTAACCATATCCTAAAACATAGGTCACTATAGTTATCTTACACCTAATTCAACCAGGAATAAGTGATTATAACTAATTTCCATTTAGACAAGTAGATGAAAAGCAAGTAACAATACTCTGTTAGATAATCATGGAAATTGGTTAGCTGACAGAGATAACTCAGCTTCTACTCTTACTGCTAAGGACAGGGGTCTTCAAACTTGGCCCTTTTATGACTTGTAGACTTCAATTCCCAGAATTCCTCAGCCAGCATGCCTAGCTGAGGAATTCTGGGAGTTGAAGTCCACAAATCATAAAAGGGCCAAGTTTCAAGACCCCTGGCTAAGGACCTATGCAATAAAACTTCCAATATGCAATACTTAATCACCTGTAAAATCTTTGTGAGGCACATCATTAAAATATACTCTATTGTCCACTTGTTATATATTATATAAACAGTTCACAATTAATATTTAATTTCCCCATTCTCAGTACCAAGCTATTGATATAAAAACACAGGAAATATTAGCGTTGTATATATTGAGTGTTTGCTAGGACAGATGTGACTTTATTATTTGGCTTTTTCCTTTTTTTATACCAAAAAGTTTTTGTATGGTAGAATCCATCTCACAGTTTATATTGCCCATAATACATTGGAATTTTAACTTATAACAACTTCTTTTGTTGAAAAAAATTAAAAAGATTACCATTTTTTTTAAAAAAGTCTGAAAACTAATTAAAAGTATAAATACAGATATTTAGCATATTTCAGTTATTGTTGGAGCTAATAATAATTGGTTGATTATAACAAAACAAAACCCACAGATCGAAAAGGTGACAAGATCTTCTTGGCTGATCTCAGCTTTAAAGAGCCAATTTTGTGTAGGGTTAAGGCACCAGGTTAGAAATTGGAAGGCTATGAATCTTGCCTTAAGCACCAGCCAGGTGGGTGACCTTGGGTTAGTCATTCCTTCTCAGCCCTAAAAAAGAGGCAATGGTATCTTACTTCCCAAATTTTACAAAAACCTGAAGAGACTAGTACCGCAATTGGCAAGAGTCAACAATGACTCAAAGGCATGCTCCGGCACACACATACACACACACACACACATAAACACAAATATATGGTTATCTTCCCTTTTTTCATTAGACTGCTGTTTTGTTATTACTAATAGCTTGTGAACTTATCTTTTAAATTTACCACAATATTCACCATAGCCAATAAGCCAAAAATAAATTATAGTACTGTCAGCAGCAGCAGCTAGTCAAGTTGCACCTCTTACTTCCATGGCCCCCCAAATTTTGTCCAACTTCCTACCCTGAGCTCCCCAGATCTTATGGTCTGCAGTTCCCATTATCCACTGTCAACAAGCACTGACTTTACCGGCTAACAATAAGAAAGTGGTAGTCCACCAGTAATCCGTGTTGCTGTAGTGGTTAAGACATCAGGCTAAAAACCCGGAGACAGCGAGTTCCAGCCCCACCTTAGACACAAAGCCACCTGGGTGACCTCGGGCCAGTCACCCTCTTTCAGCCCTAGGAAAGCGCAATGGCAAACCAACCCTTGCCATTCTCCCCATTAATTTCCCCGTTCTCAGTACCAAGCTAGGGTAATATATACAGGGAGTTGTCCGGACAGTCGTCGAAAATCTGACAGCGCTGAAAATGGGAGAAAAAAGTTTAAGTCCGACATAACTGAAGGCAAGAGGTTAAAGGGAGCCTTCTCAAGCGCCTTGGAGAAGCAACCCTTCCATCAGGCCGGCCTTAGCCAGCCCCGCCCTCCTCTCACCTGAGAGTAACTGCAACGCTCGTGGTCGCTCCCGCCTAGCACGGCGCGCGCTTCGTTCTCCAACTCCTCGTTTTCGGCCAGCACCTCGGCTAGCGACACGACGGGCTCCTCGGCGTTCCTGTCCCCGTCTTCGCCGCCAATGGACGCGTTGCTGTCGTTGCCGCCGTCCTCTTCTGGCGCGCCAGAAGCAGCCGTCGCCCTTTCCATCTCCCTGACGTATCTGCTTCTCCGACTCAGTCGTAAAAAGCCCGAGGCGGAGGAGGAAAAGGCGGGAAAACGAGAACCCGCCACCAGGTGACGCTTCCGCGCATACCGGAAGCGGACAACAAGTCGCGACGAAGAACAAACGGGGCCCTCCGCACGTGAGCGGCGACAGCCAATCACAAAGGGGAATGGAGGCGGAGATAAGGCACGGTTAGGTGCGCTCCTCCTCCGACTATATATCGTATCAACAACAAAAGCGAGCGGGATTGGTGACGCATGTACGTTGAATTAGGAGAGGCGAACTGGAAGAGCGACCTCCCCCCCCCCGCTTCCTGATGTGTGTGTGTGTTTTTTTTTCTCTGACAGTTTCGTCAGAGGGAATACGCTAAAACTGATTGGTTCCTCGTTGGCGCCGGGAAGCGAGCGATGGAGTTGCAGGCGGAGCTGACCGGCCGCGATGGCTTGAAACGAGCATGGCGAGTTCGGTGTGATCCTCCGGGAGAGCTGCGGGGCCTGCTGGCGGGCTTGTCTCAGCTGCGGGAGGAAGTCACCGCTCGGCTTGGCCTTCTGGTGCAACAGGAGAGCCTCGCTGCCGCCGGGGACCGAGATGAGCGTGGAGGTGAAGGTCTGATATTTGGAATTGGTTTTTGTCCTTCATATTATGATGGTCATTCATACTCTATGGCAGGGGTAGGCAACCTTGGCTCTATTATGACTCGTGGACTTCAATTCCCAGAATTCCTGAGCCAGCATGGCTGGCTCAGGAATTCTGGGAGTTGAAGTCCACGAGTCATAAAAGAGCCAAGGTTGCCTACCCCTGCTTTTTGTGGTACCTGTGAGGACAGGTTTGATTGCTCTATTTCAGCTCCCAAATGAAGGAGGACGTTTTGGGATATTGCATCCTATGAGTGAGGATAAAATTGGGCTTTGATTGTGCTTGGGGCATACTAATCCAAACTGACCAGTGTGATCCTTATTGTTAGCAAGGGAGGTTGCGTTTGGCATGGATGGAATTAAGGCTTGGTAACTTATACCTCATCTTTCTATCTTACCAAAGAGAATCGTCTCAAAGCTTTGTCTAACATGGATACTTAGATTTCAGTAAGGCATTTGATAAAGTAGACCACAACCTACTCCTTGGTAAGCTAGAAAAAGGTGGAATAGACAACACCACTACCAGATGGATCTGCAGCTGATTGCCAAACCGTACTCAATGAGTAGTCATCAATGGCACTACATCCACATGAAGAGAAGTAAGCAGTGGGGTACCACAAGGTTCCGTCTTAGGCCCAGTATTCTTCAATATCTTTATCAATGACTTAGATGAGGGAATTGAAGGGGAACACATCAAATTTGCAGATGACATCAAACTGACAGGAATAGCCAACACCGTAGAAGACAAACTTGGGACCCAAAAAGATCTTTACAAACTTGAACAATGGGCCCTATCCAACAAAATGAGTTTCAGTGTGGAGAAAAGCAAAGTTTAGGTAGGAAAAAATCAAAGGTACAAGTACAGATTGGGCAAGACCTGGCTTAAAAACAGTAACTGTGAGAGGGACCTTTGAGTCCTAGTGGATGATCACTTAACCATGAACCAGCAGTGTGCAGCAGCAGCCAAAAAAAGCTAATACAATCCTGTGTTGTATAAATACGCATAGAATCAAGATCACGCAAGATACTAGTACCACTTTATAAAACCCTTGTAAGACCACACCTGGAATACTACAGCCAATTTTGGTCACCATATACAAAAAAGATGTTGAGAGTTTGGAAAAAATTCAGAGAAGAGCAACTAAGATGATCAAAGGCCTGGAGACTAAAACACATGAAGAATGGCTGCAGGACTTGGGTTTGGCTAGTCTAAAGAAAATAAGAAATAGGGGAGACATGATAGCAGTTTTCCAGTATTTGAGGGGCTGCTGCAAAGAAGAGGGGGTCATGTTATTCACCAAAGCACCAGAGGACAGGACAAGAAACAATAGTTGAAACTGGTCAAAGAGAGAAGCAACTTGCAATTAAGGAGAAACTTGCTGACAGTGAGGACAATTAATCAGTAGAATAGCTTGCCCCCAGAAATCGTGGGCGCTCCATCACTGGAGATTTTTTTAAAAGGCTAGAGAATCATTTGTCTGAGATGGTATAGGTTTTCCTGCTTGAGTGGGCTGGACTAGAAGACCTCCAATGTCCCTTCCAGCTCTATTTTATTCAATATCTGGTGGCCCAAAAGGTCATGCAAATGACCTGTGGAAGAAACTGCAACTTGGAATGTAAAAGGAGTAAAAAGTAAAGGCCATAAATTAAAAACATAATAAAAAGAAAATGTCTGCCAGTGATTCTAAGAGAAAGAGGAAGGATGTAATAGAGCTGAATGAAATTGCCTGATCTTACAGAATAAAACTGCTGAATATATGCAGAAAAATTAATGTATAGATTTAATTATAAATGAAGGGCTAAAGTGTATGTCAGAAAATATAAATTGGTGTCATCTAATTGTGAGTATATGAAAGTAGGAATCCATGGGTTAGTGACAGACCCATTCATAAAACCAAGAAAGAATGATATCTCTGATTGTTTTATTGAATTGACTTGAGATCCTCAGAAAGAGAGATGAGAGAATCATGTCTTTGAAAAAGGATGTGATGCCACCTGTTTATTCATTTTTTTACACTTTCACTGTTTCCAACTTGCCCTTTTTAGAGAATTTTGTTGAGCATGGGTGACTTAGAGCCAATCACTCTCAGCCTAACTTGCCTCACAGAGTGGTGGTGGTGGTTGACAAAATAGGAAGAAGGTGTGTTGGATATATTCGCTATCTTGATGTATTTGTAAAAATATAGGTGAGATACAAATAAATAATAAAATGATTTATCTAGGTCACTGTCATTTAGGATTCAGACCTGGTCATTGATTGAAACTGATATTGGTTGCTTTGGTTGATGATTTTTATCATGTCCAGGATGAGAGGAATGCATCTTTTTCAGTCCTCCTGGACCTCAGCAGCATTTGATAACATTGTATTCCCCTGCAAAGGATGGAAGTTGAAAGCACTGTTTTACAGTGCTTCATTCATGTGTTCTGGCATTGGCAGGACATCCCCATTATAGGATATTGCTACTGGAGCTGTTGTGGCCATGGTTGAGAAATAACTGTAGATATCCTTCTAGTGTTCTGTGTCCTGAGCAGATGCAGCTTACTGATATTAGAGTGTAACTATCATATGTCAGCCTCTATTTGGCATCCCAAAGATGCTTTTTCACAAGCCAACTGGACTTCTTGTTTTTCTTTGACGATGTTTCGCTTCTCATCCAAGAAGCTTCTTCAGCAAAATGTCTTCAAAGAAAAACAGTCCAGTTGCCTTGTGAAAAAGCATCTTTGGAACAACAAAGGAATGATTGCCAGATCATATTATCAGTGATGGACAGTTGACATATCAATGTAATGTTCCCATTCCAACATCAATCATACAGGATTGTCCTAAAACACTTCATCTGAAATCTTCCATGGGTGCTGAGTATACTATGCGCACATTTCTGCTGCATAGAACATGAGTAGCATGATGGCTACATTGGATACTTAATTTTCAGCTATTTTTCCTTTTACAAAGACATTACTATTAATTGGCAAAAGCTGACTGAGCACTACCAATTCATCCAACATCAGTGAATCTAGCTACTGTTGATGCAAAATCAGATAACTAGGCTTTTGAACTCATGCACTTGTTCATTTGGCTCATTTCTAAAGGCCATGTTAATTTCTGAGTCATGAGGTGACGAAGTCATGTTTTGTTTTAGTCCAAACCTCTCTGTTCTTTTATGACACCTAATAGTTCCTGTGCCTTCTGTTCTGATTCCTCTGTGAAAACAGAGTCATTGGTTTATGTTGCATCTGTGAAATTCAGTTTATCTGCCTTACATTGAGTTCTTGTATTTCTGACTTTTCTCCATTATCCAATCTATCACCTCATTGAACAATAATGGTTATAATACATACCCTCATCACATTCCTGTTTTGACCATAAGAGGACTAGTTTTATCATTGTGCCCTTGTGCACTTAACTGTGTCCTAAAATGCAGCAAAGGCTCAGGTGATTTTGCTGCAAATGCTGATCACCAAAACAGCTTTCTACTCGAAATCCCAGTGGAAGCTCTTAAAGGTAGTCTTGAAAACAATAAATATACTGTAGTAACAATTTACTTGCCTGGTGGTGAAAGTCTGGCATACACAGCCATGGTTTGCTCTGAAACCACCTTGTTTTTTCTTGGTGGAAATTCTCTTATTTGCTATATATATTTTCTGATAACTTGCACAAGGACCTTTCCATCTATGATCAGGGGGCTAATTCAGCAATAGCTTTCACATCATGGCTTTTCAGCCTTTTTAAACACGAGCACAATATCATCAAGTGTAGATATCCTTATAAAAACCATTCAGAAGGAACACAAGCCCATGGCATAATTAACAGCAGCAGAGAGTGTCAGAAAAGTCAGCATCAATTCTTAACCAATATTGAGGACTACAGTAATGTAGTCATGTTGTTCAAACAGGAACAGGGGAGTTAACAGATGATTAATTTTTACATCTGTTTACAGAAATCTAGATGGACCCTTCAAAAGTAAGTCTGCTCTGGGAAAACTGTGGCTCTGTGATTTTCATAGTTCATCCCCATTAGCCCAACTGTAAAAGAGAGTTTAAAAAAAGCATTGGGAAGGCTGAATTTCTATCTGAGGTGATGCTGACTGCAGATTAGTACAGATTTTATTCTGAATTTTCTGAAAGATTCTATTTAAAAAAATCAAAATGACTTCCTAGTCCTCTGTAAGTAACTAGGCAGACACTGATAATTCCAATTCACAATTCAATCAGGAGAATGGTTACTCTGAATAGCTAGTGTATTTTGGTATGGATGAATTCTGGGGAAGTAGCTGAGTGCATCAGATTGTCATTCAAACACAATGTAAAAGTACAACTAATCAACTATACCTAACAAAATATCTAATTATTTCTAAAGTATAGAAGCACAACTCTGTGTATAATCTTTTGCTCACATGTATTTTGAACTTGAACTAGCAGAAAAGAATTGAATTCTATTATGGAAATAAGTTTATCACAAGTAGAATGATACTTTAGGAGGCACTTGTTAATAGAAAAAATAGTTCTATGTGATGATTAATATTTTTGTAGGTGATAATGGAGATGAAAATGACGAGGAAGAGGAAAAGGAAGAAGGGAAGCATATCAACACCAAAGGATATTCAGATGAACCACCATTAAAACGGACAAAACCACACTCCTGATGGAAACTGTAAAACTTTTTTAAAAAAATATTAAAGTTCCCATACTATGAAAACTTATCTTTAAAAAAATGTTTGATTGGATGTTGATTTAAAATTGTTCATAAAGTTATTTATCTGTTATTTTAAATTATTCAACAAGAAGATTGTATGTATGAGCAAGTAAAAGAGAAGCAAAGTTGAAAGTACCCTTTTTTGCTTGGGAAAGGCAGCACTGATAACGCTTGACTGGAGCAACTTCTGTCAGGCAGAAATAACCTCCTCACTTCCCAACAAGGCTAGTCTCAGCTAATACCCCTCCCCCCAAGTTTTACGGCCCAGCATTTATTAGAAAACCTCGGGGGAAGCACTTGGTTGCTCTCCATTCTCCAGCATTGGAGATGGATAATCCACGCAGTGGGTTGAGACTGTATTCCTGGCCAATCAGATCAGTCAGCCAAAGTTGCCACGCCCTGTCCTGGACCATGATTCCCCAGTCTTGACTGATCTGGCCATGCAGACAGACCTACAACTTTGGCTCCTGGGCAGGTATAGTTCCTTTCCATTGGGGGGGATTTCTTCTAGTAGCTGAAATTGCTTAGTTTAAAAGTTAATTAGAGATAATTTAATTCAATTTAATTGATTACTCAAAATTTCCGGGATAAATTGTAAGACTCAGGAAGTCAGATTCCCTACAGGGGAAACCACCCCCACTTAAAAGGGGGAAATCCCTAACTCCCCTCCCTAACCCAAACCCCAACCACCTTCCAGCAGCCGGCAGCCGCCTTAAAAAAACGGGGAGGCTCGGGCAACCCCTCGCGTTTAAGACAAACAAAACAAAAAAGACAGAAAGGCAAGCAATTAGCGAGGGAAGCGGAGGACAAAGGGGACGCATGCTGGGAGGGAGATTGATTAAGGGAAACAGCTGGCGTGCGAAGGAGCAGTCTTTTTCACTCACCAGGCTGCTCAGGATTTTTTAAACGAGGCGCCATTGTCTGCACAGCTGGGAGCACGCGCGGCTCTTTGTTACAACCGCACGTGGCACAGGCAGCCCTTTTAGCACAGGCGCAATAATCTCCTGCTCCTTTTAACACATGCGCAGTAGTCTCCTGGCAGCGGCGGCCATATTTTTGTCCAAACAGGGGATCTAAGGCTCCCTGAGAAAGCTAGGTTCAGCCGCTGGAGTGAATTAATAGGCAAGCAGTACTGGGGTACTAAAGCATCTATTATTCATTCAGAGACATTCAAATCAGACACATAGCTGCTGGTTCCAGGACTTGGTGTCTTCTACCTAAAGTAAATAAGAACCTTTCATAACTAACTGTGTTTAGTTGCCTTTGGCTCCTTCCAGACTTCGGGTCCCCCATTAGTGGCCCGTACGCTTCTGGATTTAGTGGTGGGTTCCAGGCATCCCCAGTCGCGTGCCTGTCCTTACCCACCATAGTCAAGCCGGGTTCCAGGCATTCCCATTAGCGTGCCTGTTCTTATCCGTGCACAGTGACTAACTCTGACAATTTTGCAGAGTCTGCTCCTGAGTTCCAGACGCCCCCAGTAGTGCGCCTGTCCTTACTCAAAGTTGGAGCTCTCCTACTACCTGGGTCCCCCCTATCGCGGCCCGGCGTTAGTGGAGAATGGAGGAAGCAATCATTCCCTCCACTGGAGCCCTGCCTTCATCATCTGGAGCACCCGCTTCAGAGGATTTGGAATCCTCTGCAGCCCCTAGAAAGGCTGCAAGGAAGTCATCAAAGAAGGCTGACAAACAGGCAATCAGAAGACACCAAGCCCTAGAAAAAGAGTTCGACAGAGCCCAGAAAAGGGCCAGAATTGAAAATAGGCAGAATGGGGGAATAGGTCCTGATCTACCACTGGGTCTCCCTTCATCCCCACGGGCCATTTGGTCATTAGGGAACTCATCACAGTCCCAGACGGAGGGTGGGATAGGCGAATTCTCATCGCTCTCCCGATCCCCCTCCCCACGGAGGTTACAGGAAACCCCGAGGACCATGCTAACCACAGCACCTGCAGGGTCGCAGGCAATGGTCACTCCTCCTGCATTGACGGGGGATCTGCTAGCTACCCTAATAGCACAGGCAGTGGACCGTGCATTTGAGGCCAGGGCTCAAACTTCAAAAGCCAAGCCTCTAGGACTTAGAACGAGGCATCGGGAGGAAACGGAGGACCATCAGGACCTCTCCTCCTTCTCAGACTCGTCGGTCTCTGAGGAAGCTTACCTGGACCAGCCAGGTACGTCACAAGGGATTCAAATGTCTGAGGAAGAGGAGGACACCTCACCTCAAGGGCCGTCCTTCAGCGGCCTGTTTAACCCTTCTCTTTTTGTTACCATTCTGCGCAAGGCTGAGGCCACAGCCCATCTGGGGCATGGGACACCAGCGGAGCCTGTCACAGTTGACACGGAGGCTGAGCCGACGTTCGCCGAAAAGGTAACCACTCAACACCGCATACCATGCCCGACCATGTTCCTAAACACAATAAGGAAACAGTGGGCAGCGCCAACCTCCCTACCGCTTCCTAGCAATGCGGAGAGGAAGCTATTTAATGTAGCAAGGGAGCTAGAGGGAACATTGGAGGTGCCGGTGGTGGACGAACCCATAGGTCCCCTGATATCGGACACGGCCATATCAGGAGATTTTGCTGAGGCTCTTAAAGCCGAGGACCGAAAGAGTGAGTCCAACTACAGGAGAACGCACCAGGCAATAGCTTGGGCTACCAGGGCGACTACCTCCGCGTCCTTTTTCACCAGAGCCACACTTTGTTGGCTCCGTGAGTTACAGGGCCGGGTTCCCATGGAGGATATACGCACTCACCAGGAACTCAGCAAAATGGTAGCGGCCACGGAATATGCGTCGGACGCGACACTTTTAGCGACCAAGTTTTCAGCCAAGGCAATGGCGGCAAACAACACGAGCAGGCGCATCCTCTGGCTAAAGAACTGGCAGGCGGATACCAAATCCAAGTGGAAATTGGCTTCGGCTCCGTACCAAGGGGCAAAGCTGTTTGGTGAGGCACTAACGCCATACCTGACAGAGAACAAGGACAAGCGCAAGGTCCTTAAACACATGCTTAAAAGGCAGGACAAGAGACCCGGCTCCTGGGGAAGGAAACAATCCTTTCGTACGGAAGCCAGGGTCAACTACTTTCAAAATTCCCAACCCTTCCAAGCTAGACAGGATAGGGAAAGACAGGGGGACAGACAGAATACAAGACATAGGCAAACGCAGGGAAGACGGCCCTTTCGGGGGAACAACCGCCCCTTCCGCCGTACCAGATGACTCCCACCCAGACCTTCCCATAGGGGGCAGACTAGCAGGGTTTGCTCCCCAGTGGGAAGAGACCACCACGGACGTATGAGTCAGGAACACCATACGTCATGGTCTATCTCTAGAATTTCTCTCAAAGCCCCCGAACCGCTTCCGCCCGTGCCCCTGTCCCACAAACCCAACAAAGAAGGCTCATGAATGAGGCCGTTCAGCACCTTCTAAACATACGGGCCGTAGAGCCAGTGCCTATGAACCAGAGAGACCATGGGTTTTATTCTATCCTCTTCATGGTCCCAAAACCCTCGGGGGGTTGGAGAGCCGTTTTGGATTTTAAAAGGCTAAATTTCTACATAAAATACCGCAAATTCAAAATGCAGACACTACGCTCCATCCTTGGAAGCGTAAGGAAAGGGGATTTTCTGGCATCGATCGACCTCACGGAGGCATACTTGCACATCCCTATCTCTCTGGCTCACCGCCGCTTTCTACGGTTTGCCTACAGGGGGCACCATTTTCAATACAGGGCACTTCCATTCGGCCTGTCATCAGCGCCCAGGGTGTTCACCAAGATTCTGGCGGTTCTGGCAGCACACCTAAGAAACGTACCAGTCAGAGTCCAGTGCTACCTGGACGATATTCTAATCCAGTCATCGTCCGCCCAGCAGTCTCGGGCAGACCTAAAGTTAGTGATAAAACTGCTGCAGGACCACGGCTTCTCGGTGAACTTTCCAAAGAGCCATCTAACCCCAACTACGAGAATACTCCATCTGGGAGCGGTCATAGACACAAAGGAGTGCAAGGTGTACCTATCACAGGAACGCCTCAGCAGCATAAAGAAAGCCGTAAAACAGGTAAGCCGCGGTCAGTCAGTGACGCTGGTCTGCCTCTCCCAGCTGCTAGGGAAGATGATATCGACCATAGCAATAGTTCCTTGGGCAAGGCTGCACTCAAGAGAACTGCAGTGGTTCATGCTCCCGTTTCAGAGACAGCAAATCAGTGCATCCCGGAAGAGGGTAGGCATACCTCTGAGAGTACGACACTCCCTCAGGTGGTGGCTATCTCCAGCTCTCCTCAGGGGGTCCCCCTTCAGGGAACCAGACAGAGTAGTAGTCACAACAGATGCGAGCTTATTCGGCTGGGGAGGCCACTTGGGGACCAAGTGGACACAGGGCCGCTGGTCAGCGGTGGATCTCCGACACAACATAAACTGGCTCGAGCTGCGGGCTATTCACCTAGCATTAAGGCATTTTCACAGCAGCATAAAAGGCAGGCACGTACTGGTCCTGACGGACAACGTGACAGCCAAGGCCCACATAAACTGTCAGGGGGGCACACACTCTCGCTCGCTCTTGGCCGAGGCCCTCCTACTGGGGGCCTGGGCGGAACAAAATCTGGCCTCCATAAAGGCCGACCACATATCGGGGGAGGCAAACATCCAAGCAGATCTGTTGAGCAGATCAACAATAGATCACTCGGAGTGGCAACTACACCCGAGGATCTTCAGGGAGATCTGTCACCGCTTCGGGCTTCCCCAGGTGGACCTTTTTGCCTCTCCCTCCAATGCCCACCTAACTCGCTTCTTCTCCCGATTCCCATCCAGGGGAGCAGAGCAGACGGACGCGTTACAGAGCCCATGGCCAAGGGGACTCCTGTACGCGTTTCCACCCTTACCTCTCCTTCCGGCGGTAGTACGCAAGATTCTGCGGGAAAGGGCCGAGGTAATCCTTGTGGCCCCTTATTGGCCAAGGAGACCTTGGTTCGCAGACTTGAGGAGTCTCTCCCGCACGAATCCATGGCGGATTCCTCCGGAGAGGATCTCCCTCAAGCAGGGGGAGATCTCCCACCCAGAGCCACAATGGCTACAACTAGCCGTCTGGCTCTTGAACGGTCAATTTTAGCCAAGGGGGCTTGCTCACAGGGTGTAATTAGGGTCATACAGGCATCAAGGCGCCCCTCCACGAACCGTATCTACGAGGCCACGTGGAGAAGCTTCCAATCATGGTGCTCTAAACAGGAATTGTTACTCGAAGGGATCACAATTCCCAAGATCCTAGAATTTTTACTAGATGGCCTAGAGAGGGACCTCTCGCCAAACACGCTGCGCAGGCAAATCGCCGCCCTCTCAACTATACTTTCTGCCAGCCCCGGTGAATCCTTGGGCAAGCATCCCTTAATACGATCCTTCCTCAAGGGGGCTGCGAACATCAGACCGCCAACCGTGCACAGGTATCCATCGTGGGAACTACCACGAGTACTACAAGCTCTTACCAGAGCGCCCTTCGAACCACTCAAAACATGTGACATTCGCTACCTGACCCATAAGGTAGCATTCTTAGTAGCTATCACGTCAGCTCGACGGATATCCGAGTTAGCTTCTCTCTCAACGAGGAAGGACCTGTGTCATTTTCACAGGGACAAGGTAGTCCTAAGAATAGACCATTCATTCCAAAGGTCAACTCCTTTTTTCACAGATCACAGGAAATAGTCCTACCAGACTTCTGTCCAAACCCAGCTCATCCCCTGGAGCAACAATGGCACACCTTGGACGTACGAAGGGCACTAAGACATTACATTTTGCGCACAGCGGAATTCCGACGCTCGGAAGCGCTTTTCATATCCTTCCACCCCGCTACTAGGGGCCGGAAGGTCTCGTCCTCTACCATCGGTAGGTGGATTAGGGCATGCATCACTGGGGCATACCAGGCGGAGTCCTTGCAAGTCCCCAAGCATATCACGGCCCACTCCACAAGGAGTGCTGCCACCTCAGCAGCATGGGCCATGCAGGCTTCTATTGAAGAGGTATGCAGGGCAGCCACTTGGGCCTCGCCCTCTCCATTCATTCGTCATTACAAAATCGACAAGTACTCCTCTGCAGAGGCCTCCTTCGGTAGGAGGGTTCTCCAGCAGGTTCTAGACCAAAGTTACACACGGGACCAGTCTATTCCCCAACCCAAGGGACAATAGGCTTTGGTATGTCCCACTGCGTGGATTATCCATCTCCAGTGCTGGAGAAGGGGCGTTGACTTACCTGAACGCCTTCTCAGCACGGAGATGGATAATCCACACCCACCTTTATAGACTAGGATAATAGGGTATATTTAGTGGAGCCAAAACGTCTTACTGTCAATGGCTGCGCTCGAGTCAAGACTGGAGAATCATGGTCCAGGACAGGGCGTGGCAACTTTGGCTGACTGATCTGATTGGCCAGGAATACAGTCTCAACCCACTGCGTGGATTATCCATCTCCGTGCTGAGAAAAGGCGTTCAGGTAAGTCAACGCCCCATCTGCTGAAAAAGGGGCAAACTGACCAGCACATCATTCATCAATTCAGTTGGCCAACCCTAGCTTTTGATGTGCATTACATCTACAGCTGGCAAGTTTAGCCAGTTTTTTTTTTTTCAAGGTCCTTAGAAAGCCAGGTTAGCATACTTCACCCCACCAAGCTTTTGAACTAGAAAAAGGAAAGCCAAACTAGATGAGCTGGAGAAGTAGAAGAGAGGGCAAGCAGATGGAGGAAGAGAGTAAACATACTGAGACTGCCAAGACTGTTTTAGCCCTTCAAGGTAGACCATAGGCTTGGAAACCAAGATTCTGCATGCTAATGCTCCTTTTGCTGTAAGATTATAGTAACAGAATCTTAAAAGTCTGAATGTACTTCCCCCTTTCCCTTTATCTTCATGAGAACTAGAGTAGATTTTTTCTGAGATACTCAGTTTACAGTTCTGGTCTAAAGATATTTTTTTTTATTTAACTGTTGCCTTCTTTTTTTTGTTCATACCTGGAGGAGGGTTGTTGTTGTTTTGTTTATTGATGTATTTTTCTTGTTTTTAATATTTTATTTGTAACAGAGTTGGGAGTCAGATACACACATATTTTAGTGGTAGTAATTTTGAATAGTATAAATGTATGTTGTTATTTGCAAGGATTAAAAACTGATAATGGGGAATTTTCTGTTCTTGCGCTTCAATTTCTACTTATTCAAGTTATCAAAAATGGAATTTTTAGTTAGATATTATCTGAAGATCCATTGTGTCCCCATTTCTGCACCCAAATAACCTTCCCAATGGTGTGTCTGTGAGCTTACAGTTCTCAGAAATAGTATTCAGCATATTGCAACTGAGACCTGTAGACTGGATTTTAGTTTGGTTCTAGTTATTTTGTATGAAATGCATTTTATTATCTTTGCAATGATTCAGATACTTGATTAGAGAATGGAATATTAAACAACTTGTTTTTGAAACATGAGTAGCATTACATTTTAAAGAAATTATGCAGAAGTAAAATATATGATCAAATAAAAAGATAATTTTCTTTAAAGATGTATGCAAAAGGAATCTCATTTTATTTAGTGCAACATCATCAAAGAAGAAAGGACAATGTCTCAATGCCACTTTTATAATAATTCCAAAGTTTACACATAAACATAGGCAAAGTCAATTTTCAGCAATTCCCTTATAGGAAACTTGACATTTTGAAGGATGCACAGTGAATTAGGGTTTCAAATATATATTTACTCTAAAATCTTCAGATGGAGCGTAGAAATTCTGCTTTGTAAGGCAAATATGAAGAACGTTACCCTCTGTTCTCAAAAGAACTTTTCACCAAATAGAATACCCCCCTCAACAGTTAAAAAATCATCTTGTTAAAAAAAAAAATAGAAGGTTGGTAGGTGCTCTGTCCAGAGGTTAACGTTGAGGAAAAAAAATTCAAGTTCCTTTCAGATATTCAATTGATCTTCAACTTATCAAAAAGCAGCCACCGGGGAAGGGGACAGGGCAAGCCACATTGATTTCCTTACGTGTCAATAAGCTGCAGTCTGCTGATTTGATTGGAGGCCTTTGCAAATGTTTGATGACGATTGCAAACCACAGCTAAGCAGATAGGAATTATGCAGTAGCCCACTGTTTTAGGATCAGCCCTCGTACATGAGTAAAGAAATAAGAACATTTGTAAATAAGGTATTAAAAAGATAATGGCCCATAGCCAAAAGGGTACAGAGAGAAGACGTGTTTTTAAGGAGTGCATCCAACTGATTTCTTGTTTAAATTTCTCTGGGGGTTGTTGAATGTGTTCCAGTGCTAGTTGATTGTAAGTCTCATTGATTTCGAAGACATAGTAAAAGGCTGCAGCACTTGCTATTAGATACAGTCCCACACCAATCCATCCCATCCTCTGACGGAAATTCATCATTCTCCATGCTCTGCGCCTTAAAAAAAAAAAAATAATTAGCCATTGTGAGGAAAAGTAACATACAATAGTACACAACAATAAGAGTTGCTCAGTATAAGCCGGTGTTTCGCAACTTTAGCAATTTTAAGAACCATGGACCAATTCCCCAAATTCCCCAGCCAGGAAATTCTGGGAATTAAAAGTCTTAGTATTAAAGTTGAAAAGTACAGGCATAATAGGCAAATTTTTAGCTTTTTGATTTTAAGATCTGTTGACAGTAGCAAGGTTAGTATTGCCTGCAATCTGCTAACTATAAAAATGTTTTAATAAACCCCCCCGGGGGGGGGCAGTGTTAGGCTTCAGGTTTTAGTGACCATAGACTAAAGAAAGGGTTCCCAATCTTGGCAACTTTTAAGATGTGTGGACTTCCAACTCTCAGAGTTTCCCAGCCAGCCTGTGCTAGCCACATTCCCTAACTTGTAACTGCCCTTTAGCTGAGCTGATTTCTCAATGGGGCAGATTGGTGAGAGCTTTTTTCTTTTTTGTCTGAAATTGGTTCAGTTTTTCCTACTTGCCCTTACTCTTTTCTAGTAATTTTTGGCTATGGAATATTTTTATTCTCTATGCATAAAGGTAAAGGGTTCCCTTGTCCAGTTGTATCCAACTCTACAGGGCAGTGCTGATCTCCGTTTCTTAGTCGAGGGAACCAGCGTTGCCCAGAGATACTTTCATAACATGTGGCCAGCATGACTGTATGCCAAGTGCACACGGAACCCTATTACCTTCCCAGTGAAATGGTACCTAATATCTACTCGCATTTGCATGCTTTTGTACTGCTAGATTGGCAGGAGCTAGAGAGGGGTAGGCAACCTTGGCTCTTTTATGACTCATGGACTTCAACTCCCAAAATTCCTGAACTAGCATGGCTGGCTCAGGAATTCTGGGAATTGAAGTCCATGAGTCATAAAAGAGTCAAGGTTGTCTACCCCTGAGCTAGAGCCAGTAACTGGAGTTCACCCCATTGCACGGTGTTCGGCTTTTGAAACCGGCCTCTCCGTTTTCCAGCTGACAAGCCCGGCAACTTTAACTGCTAAACCACTGTGCCCTCTTTCTATATGCATATGTGGTTCTTATGCAAGTATGTGGTGGCTTTAAGGCAACTAGGCCTGGTTATGGCAAACTCAAATGTCATGGTTCCAACAGACAGACAAATAAAGCAGAACTCCAAGGCTTCCAAATTCCTCAAAGAACATGTTTATTGATAGAAAGTATCGGCACTTCAAAAGTGAAACCAAGTCTGAAGAGATGCATAACAATTCCCCAATACAAAATTAAGAAATCCCACCCCTAAGGCTATGCAAGCAACTACGTTTCCCCATTCGGATTGTTAGTGGGCTTTTCATGAAATGCCCAGCCCGCAATCTCAGGAGCAGCCGATGACCTTGGTTCCCATGAGAGAAAGTCCAAGAGAGAAAGTCTGTTTTGTCTAGCGCAGGGGTAGGCAATCTTGGCTCTTTTATGAGTTGTGGACTTCAACACCCAGAATTCCTGAGCCAGCATCAAATGGCTCAGGAATTCTGGGAGTTGAAGTCCACGACTCATAAAAGAGCCAAGGTTGCCTACCCCTGGTCTAGCACAACACCTGACAACCCCCCCCCTCCCTTTGTGCTATGTGTCAACTAGAAATGAGAAGGAAAAAATGGCTGCAACCATGCTCATTCTAAAGTTGACATCAACTTCATTCAACTATGGAGCTGACTGGATGATTTTGGACTTGTCCTTCACTCTCAGCCCAACCTAACTCACATGTAATGGTGAAAAGTTTATATAAGTAGGTAGATAGCAATATAAACATACAGATATATAAAACCATTTTCAATGTGAAGAGAATATATGTGTAGTAATTGAGTAATTCACTAGGAATTCACATTTATTTTCAGCCTTTCTTTAAAGATTCCTTAGATCTTTAAGACAACAATGCTAAACTTTGTTTAAAGATCCTTTAGCAAATTAGTAGATAATCTCAGGTTTCCACTACACTCCTACACATTATTTGATAATAATGCCCCCATCACACACACAGATAACATATGTTAAGAGTTGGCAACTATAAGACTAATGCCTTCAATGAATTATATTTATTATGATACATGCTTCTGTTTCATTACAACAGGACTACAGGACTGAATTATCTCTATTTTATGCAAGATATAGATCACTTTCCAACACAGACTAGTATCAGAATTATGTCTGACTATTATAAGCATTTAAAAGGGTCCCCAAGCAACGAATAGGTGCTTATGGCATTCATTACTTGATTATTAAAGTCCCATTTGTTTTGTATGAAGGGTGGGATATGAGACACCTTCCATCTAGTATGAAAAACAAGGAATTGTGTGTAAAAAAAAAAATTCCACAGAAATGGCTGCTTTTTTCTGAAGTTAGCAAAAACTGAAGAACTGGGATGCAATGATTAAAGCCAAACTAACAAAAACAACTAGGGACATCAGACTTCCGTCTTCTCTGAAGAAAACCACTCTATAATTCTGATTATTTTCAAACACATAACAATATTGAAGCATATTTAAGTTCTATAAGCAATGACATTTGATTAAAATTATAACCTTCTCTACTTTCAACACACAAAGAGGTATATTATTCCCAACTAGGAATTGTATAACTGTCAGTATCACTCATCCCAGTATGATTATGAGAGCTGTAGGCACATATTGCTCAGAAGAATAAGATGTCAAACCAACTTTTATTCCTGCCATGAATCATCTCAACATCCTAAATTAATTGCAGAACTTTAGGCATTAGCAAAACATGGTTTTGTAGCTGTTAAAAAAAACCTTTTCTTTTGGTTTCAATACATAAAGGCATAGTGGCCTTCGTTAACGATCAAAGAAAGTTTGAACTTTTCTCCAAACTAGGAACATACTGAATTTAGAATGGAGAAAATGAATGAATGAAATACACACACACACACACTTACTTGTTTTCATCTTTCAGAAAAAAGCCACAATTACACAATATATCAAAGGAAATATCAATAATTTAAAGCAAACCTGTTCTAAAACTCACACTATTTAAATAGAGACGTGGATATAGCAAATTGCTACATAGACTCCTTCCTTCAGTATTATTTTTGTGAACATACTTTAATGATCTTATTCTAAATTTCCAGAAAAATAGACCAATGTTTATTAGCAATAATAGCTATGAAAAATAACAGGAAATAGCATGCACCACTTCTGAGCTCCCTGAAGTATTTGATTAGCTACTTGAAATAATTTGAGTGTTGTCTAAACAGACATTGGCCTGTTTCAAAATACAATTCTGACATTTTCATGTTTGCAATAAACATTATTTATAACAGGTTTGTAATAAATTGCTGCATATAGTTCACCGTTATCAAACTTGGTCATTGTTTTTCAAAATGGCTACATGAGATTTCAATCTTTGCTTTACAGTCATTATCTCAAGATACTAAGTAGCCAAGAAACCAATCCATTAGATTTACCTGACTTTGCTTACATAGCAGAAAGGGCTACTTATACCTTAAAACAATTTAAAAATGTTTCAAGGACAATTCTGAAGAACAGTAATTAAAGTCCAAGCAGTACTTTCAGACCAATTGATTTGTATTGCAACTTATCTGTACTGCAGTTCTAGGCAATCATTTCACTATGAAGTTTATGTACTTATGAACAACTTAATATAAACTGTGAATACGTTTTAAAGTCACAGAACTGAGTTGAAATACCACAGTAATTAACTTAGAAAATCCCTACTTCAATATTTACTGCAGTCACACATCCTATAGCATTGTACATGACACTGTAGTTTGTTTCCTGTTATAATTGAGACTGAGGGGCAAACTGAGCAATCATTAAAATTACCCTAAATGTTGAATTTTCATCAGCACAAACACCAAACAATCATCTCAAAGCAACACTACAGGAACTTTATTCCAGTTCTACAGCATACTTTTACTTGAAGCATGTAGCAATTGGAACAATCTGTTCCAGAGCTTGATTTACAGATTATTTTGCTGCTAATGTAATGACAATATTGTTTAAAAAGGTGTAATACTGTATCAGGATCACTAGAAGGTTCCAACTATAAAAAGCAAAGAAAGTACAGAATATAATAGCTTTCTGAATAAATTTGGATTAATTCTTTTCACTTCTCTACTGATCTCCCTGAATCTATCACCTCTATCCACACTATGAGGAAGAGATGTATATTTCGAAATTTTGGTGTTCTCTTATTACATATATATTAATCCCACTCTTCTTCCAAATAATTGGAGACTTAATTAATATGAAGATAACAGTCAGTGTTGTAAAGCTTCACTGTATGTTTTTCATTTTACTTATAGAAAATGGGTACCATAAAAGTATCACTTTCTATACAATATCTATAGTTCATGGATAACTTTTATATTCTGTAAGAGTGACACAGAGCCAGTTGGGTGAACTGGTTAGGGCATCACGCTAAAACAGGCATATTAAACCTTTTGGTTTGCCTGAGCCGCATTGAGTAAAGAGGAATTGCCTTGGCATATATAAAATATATTTTTAATTTGTTTTGAGAATTTATATAGCCACCCAATCACTTTCAGTGACTCTAGGCAGCTTACCAAAAATAAAAATCCAATATACAATTACTCTATATTTATTATATATATATATATATATGTCCTTTCCAAAGGATTCAACTTTGCAGTCGCTCCCAAACACATCCCCACTGAAACCATTATATGTGGAGTTGAAACCAGCCTGACTAAAATCAACCCCGACGACGCCAACAGAATCAGACTCGAAATCACCAACATCCTCTGCACCAGCAAGCCACCCAAAAGCAACTTACCCAAAGAGGAACAGACAGCACTACGTATCCTTAAAGAAGACACCAGCATAATAATCCTACCAGCAGACAAGGGCAACGCCACGGTGGTTATGAACACATCTGACTACCAAACCAAATTAACCAACCTACTCCAAGACTCCACATACAAACCCCTAAATACAGATCCCACCACCTACCTGGAAAAAACCACCAGATCCAAAATAAAAGCCTCCCCCATTAGCGAAGAGATCCAGCAAAGAATCATTCCCAGAGAGAAATCATCCAGATGCCCCAAACTCTATGGTCTCCCCAAGATACACAAAGAAGGAACCCCACTCAGACCTATAGTCAGCTCCATAGGCTCACCTCTACAAAACCTAGCCAAATTTCTCGCCAAACAACTACAGCCCTATGCAGAATCCATCACCTCACACGTAAAAAACTCATTCCAGTTTATAGAGATCATAAAGAAACAAAACTTACAGCCCAGCGACCTACTAGTGAGCTTCGATGTCATATCCCTCTTCACCCAAGTGCCTATCAAAGAAGCCTTGACAGCTATCCAAAACAAATATAACCCCCCCAAACACATCTTAGATCTGACCAACCACTGCCTATCCAACACATACTTCATCTATAATGGACAAAAATACAAACAAACAGAAGGAGCACCCATGGGATCACCCCTCTCACCTGTCATTGCCAACCTCTACATGGAACACTTTGAAACCCAAGCTCTAGAAAAATCGGATCACAAACCCAAACTCTGGCTCAGATACGTAGACGACACCTTCATAATCTGGCCACATGGGAAAGAAAAACTGGACAACTTCCTCACACACCTCAACAGCCTACACCCCAAAATACAGTTCACCATGGAAACAGAAGCTAACAACCAACTTCCCTTCCTGGATGTCTTAGTCTACAAGAAATCCAATGGCTCCCTAGGACACACCATCTACCAGAAGAAAACACACACAAACCGCTATCTGCACGCTCTCTCACACCACCACCCAGCACAGATCAACTCTGTAGCCAAGACACTCATCTCCAGAACAAAACGCTTAGCTGACGAACAACACCTAAAACCCGAACTACACACTCTCACCAATGTACTAACATCCAATGGATTCCATAGAAATAAGATTACAAACCTAATCCAAAAAGAAACCCCCACTAAAATCCAAGACAAAGAACAAGAAAACGGCAAAGCCATCCTCCCATACATAAAAGGCATCACAGACAGAATCAGTAAGATCCTCCATAAACACAACATCAAAACAGCATTCTGCACAAACAGAAAAATATCCACCATCCTTAGAAACCCCAAAGATAAAATTGAATTAGAAAATCAAGGAGTATACGAAATCCCATGCACCACTTGTCCCACCACATACATCGGACAAACCAACAGAAGAATAAGTGCACGCATTGAAGAACATAAGAACTCAATCAAAAAAGAGGAACCAACATCTTCCCTGGTCCAACACCTTAAAGCTACAGGACATGAAATTGACTTTAAAAATACCAGAACCATTGCCAAAAGTGAACATTTTAATAACAGAATAATCAGAGAAGCCATCGAGATAGAAAAACGCCCACACAGCATGAACAAGCGAGATGATACCTCCCGCCTACCAGCCATTTGGAAACCCGCCCTTATTGACAAACGACTCCCTAACACAAAAAATGATACCAGACCCACACTCACAAAAACCACACAGGAGGTCACCACCAAACATCCACACAAAAAACAAACCCAAAGCCACACTGACTATGAGGCACGACCACAAACCAGAAGCCAGACCACAGCTGCATCATTAGCCATTTTAAACCCCCCCAATCCATACATGAAGCAAACTGACACCCTCCATGAAGAGGAAGCACGACCACGAACGCGAAGCCAAGGAATGGCAGGGCAGCCCAAAATCTTGAATCCCTCTGCAACTCAGACTAACCTGAGCACAACCAAACAGAACACTCCCCCAGCCAATCAGAGCACAGCCAACCCCCCCCAGCCAATCAGAGCACAGCCAACCCCCCAGCCAATCAGAGCACAGCCATGCCCCTAACCAATCAGAACACACCTCCACCCAATCAGAACACAGCCAAGCTCCCATCCAATCAGTTCATACCCCCACTGGCAGTTAAAAGGAAGAAACAGCTAAGACCACACATTGCTGCTCGAGGCACGAAGCTGAAAGCACCAGCCTGAAGATGACGAATGGGACTTCGTCGAAACGTCGCCAAGACACTTCCAATTTTACGTGGGAGAAAACCCGAACAACCAAAGACCTACATACAAATACCCGCGAAAACCTCAGAAAACATATATATATATATATATATATATATATATATATATATATATATATATATATAAGTAAGGTAATAAATGCACATTAATAATGTTAAAAGTTTATGATCTTGTGGGGCAGCATTACTAGCTGTCCAGGGCTGCATGGGGTACGGAGACAGTAAGTTCTAACCCTGACTTAGGCACAAAGCCAATTGGGTGACCATAGATCAGTCCTCCGTTCAGACCAAGGAAGGAGACAAATAGCAAATCACTTTTAACATCTTGCCAAGAAAACTCAGAAACTTGTTCAGGCAGTCCCAGGAATCAATGTTGACTCAAAGGCATACACAGACACACACATAGACACACACACACACAAAAGTGTGACACGGTAGCTATAATTTTCCCAAATATTTTAAAACTACATTATTTCCAAAGGTAATAATATAGATAGTATTGGAAAACTTATAAAGAAAACTTAAGAATTATATCGCCACTGTTTATCATTTGCATCTTTTGTAACAATTGGTTTTCCTTTCTATCTTATCTGCCATATGATTATTCAGTTAACCCACATTAACAGATCTTTCTTCTACATATTGATCTTTATCTACCCTGCTTCTCTGCTATGCTATTCTCTAAATATAGCACAGTTCCACAGAACTATTCAAAGACCAAACCTATTTTAAATATACTGCTTGAGAGAGATGTACTGTATTCCTTCAATACAAAAGGACGCATTTCCACTGAATGCGGTGGCAAGGAAGTCAGTTATTAAAATCATTAACACCAGGGAACTACAAACAAAATTCAGTGTGAAAGACAATTTTTTCCCACCCTTCCATAAACTGTAGACTAGAGAATTTTTTCTCTTTATAGCACACCTTTTCAAAGTAAGTGGATTATCAAGTCTCCTTGAGATTGAACTCCCTTCCCTCTGGTGATTTTATGGATATAACTTACATGTTTTCTTGGCAGCAGTACAGAAATAATTGGCCATGCCTTCTGGGATTTTCTTTTTTTAAAAAAAAATTCCCACGCAAGTTTATAATCTGGACTTCTTGGTGGTCTCCAATCCAAATAGTAACTTCAACGGATCCTGGCTCAGATCCCTGTCTATCTTCCCTGTCTACCATGTTTTAACTACTTCTCCAAAATCAGAGGTATACATTGAACAATAAAACTCCCTCCAAGGGCTGGACAAAGATCCCTCCTCCGGGAGAAAAATGCGAGAGATCCCACCTTCCAGGATAAAACTTTATAGAGCAGAAGCCCAAGACTCCAGGATTTCCAGCGCCTTGGTTCCTTCCCTCGCGGTCCCTCTCCCACCCACCCAATCTCAACCAGACCAAGGGCTAGCCTCTGGCACTTCCTCGCCACGGGAGAATCCACCCAGCAGGGATCGAGCGTGCCCCAAAGCGAGCGCAGAGCGCTTTCTCCTCCTCGCCACCAGCTTCCTCCCCACTGGGGTTTCAAGGGAACCCAAAAGTTGCCAGATGCCAAGGGGAGGGGAGGGGCTCCTAGGCAACGCGGAGCACCAATCCCGAGAAATGAAGCCCCAGCCCCTACTCGGGAGAGGCTCCGCCATCGGACTTTCCCTCCCGACCCTCGGCGACGAGGCCGCCGCATCCCGAGCCCGCTCCCTCCCACCGGCGTACCTTCCTCCGCTAGGAAACCCGGGAGCAAACAAGCCGGAGGCGGAGGGCAGGCGAGGGAATCCAAGGAAGGACTGACCGCCCGCCCAATCACATCGCTCCCTGCGCCGAGTCCAGCGGAGGAAGGGAGGGAGCGCGGCGCTCGGCCACTCAAGCCACGCTCCGGATCCCTCCGACGCCGGGCCCACCATCCGTTTTGTCTCCGGCCGAAGACCCGCCCTCACCTCCCTCTGCTTCCGGGTAGTGCACGAGGACTGTCTGCTGCCGCGGCTCCCAGCTCTGGAGTCACGAGCGTGAGCTCGGGATTGTGGGGGGGGGGGGGTGTCTCAGCTGCTGGAGGCAGAGGGCTCTGAGCCGCCCGGCGGATGTACGAGTGAGGCTCCTTTTTTGAGAGAGAGAGAGAGAGAGAGACGAGAAAGCGAGCCAGGCTTCCTTCTTACGTAGGGGGAGAGGGGATGATCGGTATCTCTCCTGCCTCTTTGCGTTAGAGGAGGGGGCGAAAGATCAGTAGAGAAGCGCAGGGTTTAGATGGACCAGGAACCCCCCCCCCCCGCGCCTTATACATTTCGCTCCTTAGGCCAAGAAGATTTGATTTTGTAAAAACACGGATTGCTCTGCGAATGGCTCATGTGAGTTTTATAGGTAAAGACATTTTTTCGGCATTTTCCCCAAGGATTGGAGAAAAGGGGAGCCTCTTATCTAGAGAGAGTTTCCACCGAGTGATACAGCAATGTGATGTAGTATCAGGTAGCCCTCAACTTATGACCACAATTGAAACCCCAAATTTCTGTTGCTAAGTGAGAAATTTCTTAAGTGAGTTTTTGGCCCATTTTATGACTTCTTCGCACGTTTGTTAAGTGAATCACGGCAAGTTGCTAAATTAGTTAAGTAACCCGGTTGTTCAAAGAATCTGATTTCCCCATTGACTTTCCTTGTGAGAAGGTTGCAAAAGATGATCACATGACCCTGGGAGACTGAGTGACTCACTTGTCAAGCATCAGAATGTAAATCATGTTATTATGACTAGTCAGTTGAAGGCTATAGCAGAGGTCCCCAATCTTTTGGGCATCAGGGACCGGTTCTGTGGGGAGAGGTTTTTCCACTGACCCGAAGGGGCATGGTTTTGTGTGCTGCCTGCTGGGGCTTTGCTTGTTTATGCAGACCGGTTGCTAGCATGCTGCGGTCCAGTACTAGTCCACAGACCTGAGGTTGGGGACTCCTGGACTATAGTATTCACACTGGGGTTTCTGGACCACTTCGTGTTATATGACTTAACAGCTCCTGATCTCTACATAGGGCCTGCCCACCTCCCAGGTGCTGATGAACCTGTGTTAATCTTATCACGCTGAGCTAGTTCTATCATACTCAGAGAAACTTGCCATGGTGATAGTGTCAGCACGCTGATGCAAGTACGTTCTGTGGTGTCTGCTGTTGGCAATTGCGAATGCAGTCGACATGTCACATGATACTGCCACAGTGGGATACATGAACAGGAAATACAAGGCAAAGAACCCAAGTAGCACCAGCAGCTTCATTAACATTTAGACAAAGACATACCCCAATCAAGGGATGTACTGTATGAACTATATATAGATACAACAAAGAGTAAACCAACATGTCAAGCTTGAGAATACTGAAAGACTAGATGACAACAGTGTTAGCACTGTCCTCTGAGGAAATGATATGAAAATAATAGAAATGGCACTTTTAAAATAATATTGATACCAGAAGTGATTGGGTGTATTAAAGATCAGTAAGAGCAATAAGAATGTCAAATCTTTAGTTGTAAGTTTATAAACTCAAGAAAAAACTATCTTGAACTCTCATCTCCATCCAGTTAAAATCACAATAGGACTAGGAAACCGTGTCTTGGATATGTTTGATGCCTTGGATTATTTGTATAAACAATAAAAATAATAAATAATATGATAAAAAATACAGACTGGAACAGCCACTTTGCAGGCAGACAACTCACCTCATGAAGAGAATTTGATAAATAAGTCCAAAAACTTTCACAAGAGCCACAGTCTACTGTTTCAGACAAAAATACCTATATTTAAAAAAATAATCAGGATTGCCAACTTTGCAGCTTGTCAAAAAAACAAGACTCATCACTTAAGTAGATCTGGGAGGGTCTTGATGAGACGAACTTCTTTGGGAACTGTATTCTTGTCATCTATTTCAGGCAAAAAGTATTTTGAAACAGCCATTTTCCAAAGTCAGCTAATCAGATCACACAGCAATAGAATATATAAAGTAACCATGTTACAAAACTTTTCCTTAAAACAAGTGGAATTCTATGAACATGGTATATTAACTATACTGAATGCTTGTAAAAAAATCCCTGGGTCATTGCTCCATGTCTATGGATAAATAACTTCTGCTAGGATTGTTATAGTTGAGATCTCTTGGAATAATTTGCACAGCTGGGGCTTTTGAGGAGTTAATAAAGTGTTATTTAAAGGTTATTCCTAAGATAAAGGAGGTCCTTTACTCAACTTTATGTTGTGTACCAGTTACACACTTTCCTGGATAGGAAGGCCACTGACATCCTGATCATCTCCCATTTGGAGTATTGCAATGCATTGGTCTATCTTTGAAAAATATCTGGAAACTTCAGCTGATACAAAATGTGGCCACACAGGCAATCTTGGGCACCCAAAGAATGGCACATATGATACTTGTGCTGAGTGAATTCCACTGGATGCCAGTTTGCTTCTGGGTCCAATTAAGGTGTTTATGGTGATCTTTAAAGCCCTACATGGTAGCAAGAGGCCAGGTCACCTATAGAACTAGCTTTGGTTTACCCCATCACATTAGCCCATCCCACTCAGTCATGCAGAGAAGGTATGTTATGGACTGTGTCAATTAAAGAATTCCAATTGGAAGGTCCCAGGAAGAGAGCCTGCTCTGCTTTTGCCTCTGCCCTTTGGAACAGTCTCCACACACACACACACACACACCTGCCCATGCCACGGTGAGGCAGGCCCCAAGTCTCCTGGCCTTTCAAAAATATCTAAAGGCTGGCTCTGGCACTTGGGGTTCAAAAGGGGGGCCTGAGGCTGGTTTGCAACCAACCTGAAGCCCTTCACCCACCTTTTAATTAATATTATTGAGTTTTAATCATCCTTGCCTCAATTTTAAAAATTTTATATTCAGTTTTTAAGTTTTTAAATTTTTATTTGTAGACCTCCCAGAAACCCTTTGAAGGAGATGGGCAATTTCTAAAGGGAATGAATGAATGCATATTCTCATTTGTTTCTAATACTATGCTGGTTTCAGAGACTCAGTTGAACAATTTTTAATTGTATGAACCAAGCAGTCTGGTTTGTTTGGACACATTCTGATTAAATTGTGGCCTATGTATATAAAAGTCATTGATTTTATTCATATAGGACATCATTACAATATGATTTGATTGTGCTTAATGTGTTATGAAAATCCAACCTTGCGATTAAGTTAATGTGGAGAGTAAACAAATCATAGCATATAATATCAGGTGAATCAAACCAGATTCTTTATTCATGTCAGAAGCACCTTCACATTATAAACATATAATATTCAACTGACCAAATAAAATAGTTATAAAATAGGTCATAAAATATAAAACATGTAAAAAGTATGTAAAATAAGTAGGATTAAAACTAAATTATATTCGCCCAGGATTGGGTCACCTCAGTACCATTTTCTCTCACCAGTATGAGATCTTCATATATGTGAAAGGTACACAACGTAGCTTATGTGATATGGATTGTTTTTTTCCACAGTCACAGAATCTTTTGTTGGGAAGCCCAGGGCGGTTGAAAGTGACTACCATTTTTCCTGTATTTAAAATTCTGTTGAAGCCCACTAGATGGAGCACAATAGCTTAAAGCAGTGGTTCTCAACCTTTCTAATGCCGTGACCCCATAATACAGTTCCCCATATTGTGGTGACCCCCAAGTGGGCGTGGCCACCAATAAGAGAGAGTAGGACAGCTAGGGAAAAGGGAAAAAAATGGTGGACAGCATGGTTTGGTGACCCCCGTGAAATGGTCGTTCGACCCCAAATGGGGTCCCGACCCACAGGTTGAGAACCACTGGTTTAAAGGAAGCCAATTTTGATGAATAAATCCCTGAAGTGCTGCAGTAATTCTAAAATAAGCTTGATAAATTTGATTGTGGAGATATTAGAAAAAAACAGCTTGTTCTCTAGGCTTAACAGAATAACCTTTCAAATTGCAAAAGAACTGATTATTGTGCCAGACATTCTTAATAATCAGTATTAACATTTTAGGGTAAATATGCTTGTTTGGTTATCATATGAAGATGTTGCTTTTCCATCCATTTTTGCTAAACCAGCAATAATTGTATTCTCCACAATTTCTTTTGTATAGAACCATAAGTGAGCAGTGGCAATCTACCTTTGACCCAGTTTCTGAGAGGTGTTAGGATGTTGTGAGAAAGAAGCACAAATAGATTCCATTCATGTGGAGTTGGAGTTCCTGGCCAAAAGGTAATACAGATAGTCCCTGATTTACAACCACAATTGAGCCCAAAAGGTCTGTTGTTACGTGAGACATTTGTTAAGTGAGTTTTGCTCCATTTTACGACTTTTCTTGCCTCAGTTGTTAA